GGTCACCACCTCATTGGTTACAGTGAATGAACTATGTGCCCAAGCTCTGAGTAAGCCTGGCCAAACTGGGGTGTGCTGAGGCAGGAGGATCAAGAGTTTGAGGCCAGCTGGGTTACATGACAAGATCCTAGTTCGTGGTTAGTGCCATATGTTAATATGCCACTAACATGCGGGGGATGTTTTTTTGAGAGACAGGTTGTCACTATGTAGCCCTAGTTGGCCTGAAACTCACTATGTAGGCCAGGCTGGCCTCAAACTCACACAGTTCCGCCTGCCTTTGCCTCCCAGTTGCTGGGATTAAAGGCATGTGCTACCATGCCCAACTATATAAATCTTCTTAATGTCCTTACCATTGAGGTTGGCGTGTGTGTGTGTGTGTGTGTGTGTGTGTGTGTGTGTGTGTGTGTATGTTTTAGATGATCTCTCTGCTTGCCTGGAACTCATTATGTAGACCTGACTGGCCTCTCCTGCCTCTGCCTCCCAAGTGCTGGGATTAAAGGCATGTGCCACCACGCCCAGCGAGATTGGCATCTTAAATCCATTGCCTTAATTTACCTAACCCCAGGATTAAATAGAAAGAAAGGAAACACTCATGTTCATTTTTGGTGGCTGGAAGATAGGTCTCAATATCTTCAGATACTCCCAGTCATCCTGCCTCCACCTCCTGTGTACTAGGATTACAGGTATGCATCACCAAGCCCAGGTATACTTTTCATGTTTTGTTAGATATTTCAATGTATACAAAAGTAGAATAAACATATTTATAAGAAAATAAGGTTTGTTTGGGTTTTTTGTTTTGTTTGTTTTGTTTTGTTTTTTTTTTGCTGGACTTGGTGGCTCTTTAATACCAGCACTACGGAGGCAGAGGCAGGCTGATTGAGTTTGAGGTCAGCCTGGTCTGCATAGCAAGTTCCAGGCCAGCTGGAGCTATAAGGACACCCTTTCTCAAAAAAAAAAATAAAAAAATAAAAAATAAAAAGGTAAAGTAGTGTCATTTGATATAAAAAATAGAAATTGTCATTTGATATAAAAAATAGAAATTACAAACATATTACCTTGACATAACTTGTCTTTTTTGAGATAGGGTCTCATGTAACTGGCCTTGAATTTATAGTCCTCTTGCCTCTAACCACTCAAGTGGTGAACTCATAGGCACCAGCACACCTGGTTTATGGTGTGCTGGGAATCAAACCCAGCACTTTGTCCACGCTAGGCAAGTACTCCAACTGAATCACATTCCCAGCCCCTTGACATATCTTTTAAAGATTTTCTTAGCTAGATGTGGTGGCTCATACCTGTTATCCTAGTACTCAGGAGGCTGAGGCAGGAGGATCACCACAAGTTTGGAGAATATGGTGCTTCTGGATTTTAAAAGCTATAAATGGTCATGAAAGTCTTAGGGACTTTGGGAATGGTTTTTTGAAAAAAAAATTGGGGCGGGAGGAGCCGGGGGTTGAGACAGCGTCTCCTTATAGTCCCAGCTGGCTTGGAACTCACTCTCTCGAGTGCTGAGATTAAAGGCATGTATCTCAACACCTGGTAGCAGTGTGCATTTTTGATCAGAAGTTTGACACTTTAGTCCTGGTACATGAGAATTTTATTATAACATGGTGCTGTGGGACTGTTCTGAAGTTGGCCATATGAAGGAAAGCAGCCCTAGGTGTTTAGCAGATAAAGCTGCTCTATCTCTATTTAAGAAAGGCAGCTGCCCCATGGACTCTGGTGCAGGAGCTACTACCCACATGTGACTGTTTGAATTAGGCTTGAATAAAATGAAATGTTTATTTCCTGATGTGTACTCCCTGTATTTCAAGGAGTCACATGTGCTAGTGGCAGCTGTTTTGTACAGTATGGACACAGGACCTTCTCCTCACTGTGGAAGGTTCTGTAGAGTATGTAGCTCTAGAATATTCTAGGAAGTGATCAGGAAAAGCCAGTAGTGTGAAAGGGTTTCCTTGTTTTGGTCTCCTTTTTCTTTTGTGCTAGAGAATGAACCCAGTGCCTTGGACATGTTAAGGAAACCCCCTACCACCGAGAGGTACAGCCCTTGCTTTGTGGAGGCTTATTGAGAAGAGAGTTGGGCAGTTTTGTATATGAAGTTTTACTAGAGCCCAGCCACACCCATTTGTTCAGAATTATCTTTGGCTACTTTGTGCCACAATAGCAGAGCTATACTGAATAAATAGAAACCATTTGTGGACTACAAAATCTAAAATATTTATTCCGTCCCTTTATGAAAAGTTTTGCCACTTGACACTTTAGTACAGATAATTCTTTGTTTTGGGGCCTTTCCTATACATTGTAGGACACTTTAATAGCATCCCTGGTCTCTACCCACTAGGTGCCCCACCCTGTTGGTGATGACCACAAGTATGTCCAGATACTGCCAGATTCCCCTGGGGAATAAAGTTAGCCCTGACAGAGAATCATAAATTTTGGGTGATGTGGCTTGGCAAGGTAAAAATGCATAGGAGTGTTCTTGTAAAAATAAAGCAGATCCATTCAGAGAACAGAACAAAGAGCAGGTTTTTCTGTTACTTACACTTCAATGTTCCCTCCAAGAGGAGTGTGTACATAAAAGTTGAAAGAGGAATGAAGCACTCTGAAGTTGACTTTATGAGTAGTGGCAATGGAGATCACATCAACTCTGAAGTTAGGGGGAACTGTGGACTGTGTTACACCCAGATTTTCAGGGCTGCTTCTTTTAGAAAGCACTTGGTAGCTATGAAGTTTTTCATTTTCCCATGTATAGATGTCATCTATGTATGCCCAGCAAGATATGAGTTAATATATATTTAAATTATTAGTAAATACAGTACATTGCTTATCTGTCTTATGATTATTTATGGGTATAAATGATTTGTAAACGTTCCTACCCTCATTCTCTAGAATAAAAGAAAACTTGGTTATATCTATATTCATTAGAAGTTAATGCAAGCCCATTCTTTTAATCCCAGCACTTTGGAGGATCACGAGCTCAAGACCAGCCTGGACTACTTAGTGAGACCCTGTAAAGGGGATTATAGAACAGAAATGTCCAATCCTAAAAAAACCATGCTCAGTTCTTGGTCTTCCAAGACACAGTTCAATAATAGCCCAGGCTGGCCTAGAACTCAGTAGATAGTCCACATTGGCCTCACCCTCCTGGTGGTCCTCCTGCTTTATCCTCCTGACTGCTGAAATTGCAGGTATGAGTCACTTCACCCAGTTCAGTTCTGTTAAAATCTGACTTTCAAATACTTTTTTTGGAATAGAGGGTTTTAGCATGGTAGCACACACCTGTGGTTCCACCACTTGAGAGGTAGAAGGAGGAAGATCAGGAATTCCAAGTCATCCTCTGTTACATACCGAGTTTGAGGCCAGCCTGAGTTATGTGAGACCTTATCTCACAAAAATAATACCAATAATAATACAGTAAAGGGTTTTGGAAATTGTAGAAGATGGCTGTTTTAAGTACTCACTGACGAGATGGCTTAGCAGGTAAAGGTACTTGGCTTGCACACCTGGCAACATAAAGGTAGAAGGAGAGAACCAGCTCCAGAATTGTCCTCTGACCTCATATGTGGCGCCTACACATGCCCACCCCCACCCCCACACACCAAAAAAAATTTTTTTTGGTCTTTTTGAAACAGGGTCTTCCTGTAGCCCCAGCTGTCCTGGAACTCACTATGTAGACCAGGCTGGCCTTGTACTCACATAGATCCACCTGCCTCTGCCTCCCAAGTGCTGGGACTGCAGGCATGCACCACCATGCCTGGCTTACAAAATATTTTTTTAAAAGGACAGGATGGAGAGGTGGCTCAGCAGTTAAGAGCATTGACTGCTCTTGCAGAGGACCCAGGTTCGATTCCCAGCACCCACGTGGCAGCCGCGAACCATCCTTAACTCCAGTCCCAGGGGAATCCAAGACCCTCTTCTGACCCCTGCAACATTGCACGACATGGGCGCTCTCACTCACATGCAGGCAATACACTCATACACATAAAATAAAAATAATAAAATATTTTTTTTAAAAAAAAGGAAAGCCGGGCGTAGTGGTGCACGCCTTTAATCCCAGCACTCCGGAGGCAGAGGCAGGCAGATCTCTGAGTTGGAGGCCAGCCTGGTCTCCATTAATGAATCCAGGCCAGCTGCGGCTACAGGGAGACCTTGTCTCAAAAAGACCAAAAAAAAGGGAAAGAGATTACTTGTTTTGTAGAACATATTACTATTGAATATTAGCAAGTAATTTTCTTTTTTAAATATTTTATTTATCAATGATGTATGTACTTCTGGATTCTCAGTTTGGGAAATAGAATGAACTGGAATTGGGGAAACTGGAGCTGGAGTTAGAGCAGCCTGACATGAACACAGCCTGGATTCAAATCCCACAACAATGCAGAAGATGAGGCTATATTGGGGAAATAGCCCTTCAAAGAGAATATTGTATATATCCTAATCTGGTTCCTCAAATTTTACATTTCAGAAATGTCACTGGTGGCCCATGCCTTTAATCCCAGCACTTGGGAGGCAGAGGCAGGCAGATCTCTGTGAATTCAAGGCCAGCCTGGTCTACACAGTGAGTTCCAGGACAGCTGGGGCTACAGGAGAGCCTGTCTCAAAAAGACCGAAAAAAAACAGTCACTGGTTTGGCAGAGATGGCTCAGCAGCTAAAAGCATTGACTGCCTCTTGCAGAAGACCCAGGTTCAGGTCCCAGCACTCACATGGTGACCAACACCTGTCGGAACTTCAGTTCCACGGGATCCAGTGCCCCTTTTTGGTCTCTGCGGGCATTGTATGCACATAGTACATTTACGTACATGCAGGCAAAACACTCAGAATAATCTTTTTACTGTTTTAAATGTAACCGAGGTTGAATGTGCTGAAGGGGAGCACACCTTTGTGGAAATGATCTGCATGCCGCTAAGCGTTTGAGGCAAGAAGGGCTTGACTACTCAACTCCAGTGAATTAGGTAAACTTGCATGTTCCCATGCATAAATGTTTGTTTGTTTTTTTCAGATCTTACCAATATATTTGAGTCCTTCCTGCCCCAGTTGTTGGCCTATCCTAACCCCATAGATCCTCTCAACGGTGACGCTGCAGCCATGTACCTCCACCGACCAGAAGAATACAAGCAGAAAATTAAAGGTAAGATGGCATACTTGAGTTGGCCATTTAAAAGGTCCTGGGTTCCTTGTAGTTTTTCTCTGGCCTAAAGAGAGACCCCTGTGCCTAAAGTACTGCTGCCCAGTCCCCACGTGTGGCTCAGTGCCACTTTGCTCAACTTATGATCCTTTTTGCCCACACTCAGGACAGCTTGCTTGCTAATGGGACTAGAGTTGCAGTGAAACAGAAACAAGCTTGTGAAAGAACATTGGCTTGTCTGTCTGTCTTTTTATTTATTATTTCTGGCAGTATACTCTGCCATTGAGCTACACACCCCCAGCCCTTGGTTTGTCCTTACTTCAGTGTATATATGTTTGAGAACTTGCTTAATGAAAAGGATAGATACGTAAAGCAGGGAAAAATAACTCAAAGTGCTGACAGTACACCAGATCCTCCTCACACCTAGTGGGTACTGGCATTCTCTGTTTCAGCATGACTTGCTCATCTGCATAGGATCTAGAGTATCAGATTCCTCAGGATGTGTGTCTTTAAGGTCCACTTGTAAGCAGTGGCAGTAAAGACATTTTGGCAGAGCTTCAATACATAGGCCTTCACCCTTAACTGTGTAGGTTTAAGACAAAGAGGCCAGGCATGGTGGTACACACCTTTAATCCCAGGATTTGGGAGGCAGGTGAATCTGTGTATTCAAGGCCAGCTGTGGCTACAGAGAGATCCTGTTTCAAAAAATTTTAAAAAATAAAAAGACAAACAGAGCCATGAACAATAGTTTCCTTCTGTTTGTTTCCTAATTCTCCCTAGATTTTTGTGGAGTATAGCTTTTTGGTTAATGTAGAAATAAATCTATTGTAATGCATTTAATTAGATCTCAAGTGCTCTGCAAACTAATATCTAGTATCTAACACAATAATTGACACAGCCAAACAAGTATGTATTCTAAGAAAAAGGAATCTTCAAACAGATAAAATTTTGTTAGGAAGATGCTGATCTTTTGAATAGCTGTCATTGAACAGTGTCTGCAGACCACAGGTATCATAATACAGAATGTATTTCCATAGTTCTAATATTCATTTTGCCTCAGCACTTTAATATTACACCAGTTATAGTGCAGATCTGCTCCAGTCCTAGTTACAAAAGGAAACCAACCTGTGTTCATCATAGGGTAACTAGTTCTATCTTAGGAACTCCTAACTTTCTGCAGTGTTAGTGTCAGCAATTACTTGTCTTCCTCCTTGGTAATCTGAGAAAATTGTGCCCATTAGACCTGAGCTCACCGTTTCCTCTTTATATATATATACTTTATATGTACTGCCTCCCCCATCTTTTCTTTGTCCCTATAGGAAATAAAAGGTGCCCTATGATTTTTCTCAAACTCACTTCCATCACCAACTTGTGTTCTTGCTCCCCTCGCTATTGGAGTCACCCCACTTCAGAAGCCTTTGCTCCTGTGCCCTCTTAGGAGCCAGGCCATTTATGTCACACTTCTGCTTCCTTGTCTGAAACCGCATCGTTGCTTTCCTTCTCTGCTTAATTTGTGTTCATTTCTTCCTAATCTTGTGAACTCTTCTCAGGGTCCCATTTTCCTAGACCTCACTAGAGCTTTAATATTTCCTTTCCTTTCCTTCCTTTCTGAAAACATCTCATTCCAGTTCCCAAATGTAACCATTCTCTTGGAACCAGCTTATGCTTAGTCCCTCGGACTCCCTCTTTCCCCCCTTGAGTTGTTTATTTACTGTCATGGTTTCAGGTAACCCGGAGCTCCAGGGGGATCAACTCTGAGTAAGTGTGTCTAGGCCTGCCCCTTCTCCCAGGCTATTCTGCAGTAGGCACAGCTCAACACTTACATCACAGCAGAAGCCATACCTTTCTTCCCTTGGTGTTGTTCAGATCTAGTTGATACTATGGAAGAGTGCAAATGTAAAAGCACTCTTGGAGTTGTCTAAAGATATGTCACGTCCCTTGGAGCTGAGGAGATTGATCAGTTATTAAAGTACTTGCCTCACAAGCATGAGGAACTGAGTTCAGATCCCCAGCATCCACATAAAAGTCAGGCATGGCAGCACCTGCCTGTAATCTCAGGGCTGGGGAAGCAGAGACAGGATCCTTGAAGTTCACTGGCCAGCCTGCCTAACTGAATTGGTAAGCTCCAGATTGAGGGAGAGACCCTGTGTCCCGCCCCCCCCCCCCCCCCCCAAAAAAAAGAGGTTAGGCGCTAAAAAAAAAATACCTGACATTGACCTCTGCCCTCCACATATCCTCTGTTGAGTGGTATCAGCCTGCCATTCAGGGATTTAGGTGCTGAGGTAATATACACCTCTCCCTCATCTCCTCTAATTGTTATCAGTCTGTAACAGTCTAGTTAGATGAGCTTCTGGTACCCACATATATTTGATTGAAAATTTCAAGCCTCCAGAAAAGCATAGATTATCTTAAATACCATGTACCCACCAAACACCTGTTAAAAAACCTCTACATTCTCCCTTCTTTCAGGGTTTTAGTTTTGCTTCATTTTGTTTTTCAAGAAAGAAAACGGACTGGGGATATAGCTCAATTGAGGGTGCTTGCTTAGCATATACAAAGCCCTGAATTTGAAGCCCCAGCACCACATAAATTGGTTATGGTGACACATGCCTGTAATCTCAGCACTGGGGGAGATTGAGATAGGGAAATTACAAGTCCAGAGTCATCCTTGATTACATGGGGATTTGGGGGCGGGGGCAGTCTTTAGAGGAATTAAAGGTGGGCACCACCACGCTTGACTAAAAGATCAAATTTTAGAAAGGTATTCTCTACAGTTGCAATTGAGTCCAACTGGGGAAACATTTTAAAAAATAAATAGGATTGGAAAAATGCAGTCATGTTAAATGAGGAAAAGACAGGGAAGTTCTTTTTCTAGATGATTTGAAATAAATTTTGTTTGGCAGCAGGATGGACAGCAAGACGTACATTTGTTTTGCAGTATAGCAAGACTGAGTGAGTGGGGTCTCTCTGTTATATTGAGTCTTGAAGGAGAACGGCTGCAAGACTGCTGCCACGGCCAGGCCGGAGCGCGGCTCTCAGGATGAGTGACAGCTGCTCTTCTGTAAGTCCAGTTGAATGCCTGGCCATCAGCTTTACTTCCCCCCCCCCCTTTGGTCTTTTTGAGACAGGGTCTCCCTGTAGCCCCAGCTGGCCTAGAACTCACTATATAGACCAGGCTGGCCTTGAACTCAAAGAGATCCACCTGCCTCTACCTCCCGAATACTGGGATTAAAGGTGGGTGCTACCATGCCTGGCTAAATAAATTCTTTTTAATGAAAAAAGACAAAACTTTTTTTTTGGCTTTTTAAAAAAGTCAGTGTAAAGCCTGGTGTGGAACTGGAATTACATTAGATGCCAAGAACCCGATCCTTTGCAAGAGCAGCCAGTGCTCTTAACTGCTGAGCCATTTCTCCAGCCCCCATTATTTATCACCATTAACCGATGCCACCTTTTGCCTCCACAAGCACTTCATGACATGGGTGTACTTAAATACATGCAAGGAAAACACTCATACACATAAAAATAAAATTTTTTAAAAAATTTTGTTCTGGCCAGGTATGGTAGCACATGCAGAGGTAGGTGGATCTCTGTGAGTTTGAGGCCAGCCTGGTCTCCATAGTGAATCCAGGACAGCTGGGGCTACAGGGAGACCCTATTTCAAAAAGACCAAAAATTGATTTAAAGGGCTCTAAGTCTCAGGTCTACAAAATTTTGTAAAGAAGATATGGCTAGGTTTGGTTGTTCGCAGCTGTAATCTCAGCACTTGAGATGCAAAGGCAGGAGGATCACAGAACATAGCAGCTTCCAGGCCAGGTAGGGCTACACTGCTCTATCTCACAAAACAAAAATGAAGGAAAATAGGAAAAATGGTCCTCACCAGACCCCTTGTGCTACTTTTTTTTAGCATTGATACGCCCATGTGACCTTTTGCCTTCCTCCTGATGGCAGTCCCTCCAGCTCCACAGATGATACAGTCCAAGGACATGAGGGTCCATGTGTGTCCAGTTTACATTCCTGATGGGATTCTCACCAGCTGTCCCATATTATGTGTAGGCAATTTACTTAAGAACAGAGTGTTCTTTTAGGAGCAAGTTTAGTGTTTACTCAGTAATTCTTAAGTTCTTTTTCAGCCTGTACATTCAGCCTAGGTTACTGCAGTGTGAATGCTGAGCTGAACAGTGCACAGAAGAACCTTCACAAAACAGCCTGCTCCTGACGAGCAGACCAGTACCATTTTTACTGTCTACTTCCAAAACCCTGACAGGCAGGATCTGTATAAATTCTGTTCCTAAATTAATAGACCTGGGCTGGCTGTAATTACTAACTGCAAATCTGTAATGGAAGGGGGATGTCCTGATAAATACCTATAGAATTGTAACTAGTCCTGTTCTGATTTAGAAGTAAATCATTTTATTAACATGAAAAGTAAAAAAAAAAAAAAAACGGGGGGGCGGGGGCTGGAGAGATGGCTCAGCAGTTAAGAACACTGGTTGTTCTTGCAGAAGACCGTATTCGAATCCCAGCACCCACATGGCAGCTAAGAACTGTCCCTAATTCCAGTCCCAGGGGATCTGACAGCCTCTTCTGTCCTCCGTGGGCATTGCACGACATGGGTGCACTTACCTATATGCAGGCAATACACGCATACACATAAAATAAAAATAATAAATAAAAATTTTTTAAAAGTAAAAAACGTGGGGTTCCCATTTCTCCCATCCCTCCACAGTTCCAGGTTGTTGACACAGATCACCTTCTGCAAACCCAGCATTCTCTCCTGCCCTTCCAGTCACCTCTGGAACCCCCCTTGGCTTTAGTGATCCATACCACCTGTCGTCCTTGTCACTCTGGCATAAAAGTTTGAACCTCCCTGGGACTTGGCATCTTTGGGGTCACTGAACTCACACCCTGTGTTTTCTCTGCTCACCCCTCCCCTGTACAGAATACATCCAGAAATACGCAACGGAGGAGGCCCTGAAGGAGCAGGAAGAAGGGACTGGTGACAGCTCATCGGAGAGTTCTATGTCTGACTTTTCAGAAGATGAGGCCCAAGACATGGAGTTGTAGTGAAAAAGCACCTGCTTTTCAGAAAGACTATTATTTCCTAACCATGAGAAGCAGACTATAATATTCATATTTAAACAAAGCAATTTTTTTTATTACTAAACAAGGTTTTTATGAATAATAGCATTGATATATATATATTATATATCACCCTTTAGATCTTGATTTCTTGGTCATTTCTCAACCTGAGGTGCATAGCATATTCCCACATTCCATTTTGGTAGCAATATGCGGTCTGAATGCATGCATTCATAAGTCCATTTGGCCAAGTCAGCCTGTGTGCTGCTGAGCTGTGAGAAGTAGGCTCTGATAGGCAGACATGAGTAAAACTAACAGGAGAATGTTGCTTCTTTTTATTGATGGTTCCAAAGAAACCAAATCGACCTGCTCTTGGATGAAGATAGAACAGTGCTTTTCCAGAGTGGAAAGGAAAAACTGGGGAGGAAGAGACCTGCTGTGGGAGCATACAGAGCCCGCATGTACGAATCAGCTGCTCCCCTGAATCCTAAGTGGCCCGTTTCTGTGGAGCAGCAGCATAAAACAGGGAGCTTATTGGAGAAGTGAAACTTAGAATTTTTTTTGACTCAGATTTAAATACATTTTTCTATGTAGATTCCTGCCCTCCATGCTACCAGACCTGCAGCCATATTGTTTTTGCTTTGGAGAACCTTTGGGAAGTGTTTTCTGAACCCAATTCTTTTTCTTGACACAGCTTGTCATTTCGACCTTTCTTGAGTGAAGAGGACCGGAGGAAAAAAGTAACTGGAAGTACGTGCTCTCATCTAGAACCCGTGCAAAGTCATGTCCTTATCTTGTGTTGGGCGCATTTGAGACCACTGCCCTGGACTGAGCTATAAACTGGAGGTGGTTTTTGTTTGATGTTAATTTTTTTTAATTTTGTGTGAATTGTGCTTAGACAGGTTACAGATTTAATTTTCACCTACCAAGAGACAGTCTCCTCCCTGGACAAAGTGCTCTGGACCATCAGATGGAGGAAGATGACTGACCTGGAGGCTGCGAGGCCTGAGGGCTTCAAGGCCATGGGTGCTTGTTTGGTTTTCTCTCTGGCTCCAGCTCCAGGGAGCAGCCTGGTTGTCAACTGCTTGTGGGAGAGGAACTTGGGTATTTTGAGATACTTCCTAAACACATCCTAAATTTAAAGTGAGTTAATAATCTGAACAAATGAAGGTTCTTGTACCCAAAGTGACTCAACCTGGGATAAAAACAGCTTCCTTCAGTGAGTGACTGACTAGGAAGAAAGGATTGGAAACACAGTGTAGTGGGACAGGTTGTGTAGGGAGGGTCCCTTCTCCCATCTGTGTGGTAAGAGTAAGTCAGACAGTTGGAAACGCTGCCGCTGCCACCTGTGTCTGGTCCACTAACCCCTGTCCAGGGCAAGGAGTTTCAGGTCTGAGTGTCGGCGGCTGATTAGAGGGAATTTTGAGACATTGTAGACAAGAGCTCCCTATTCCTTCTGCTGAAAACAAGACAGTAGCAGAATTAGCCAACCTTAAAACCTTCTAAAGACAATTTTGAATGTCCCACTGGAATAACTTTTCTTTTGATGCGTGTTTTTAGTTTAGAGTGCTCTATCCCACAAGGTTTAAGTCATTGAGGTTGGAAGACACCCTATCTTTTTTAATTCAAAAAGCACAATCAGTCGTTCCTTTTTGAAAATCTATAAAGTACAATTCTTTGCATGATTATTTTCCTAAATAAAAAGACAAATAGTTTACTTATTTTTATGTTAATTACGGGCATGAAGCAAAAGGTTTTTTTTGGGAGAAATGCAGTTCTGTTGAGCTGTGGTTAGTTCACCATGCTGTTCTCTCTGGTGTCCATGGCTTGTTGTAGGTAGTGTTGGCTATTTCGAATGTAATGGCGTGCTCACACCTAGCGCTGTGCTCTCCTCGATTTGTGGGAGGGGAGGGTCTCTGCTGGCACTGTCCAACTTGCTTCCCTGCCAGACTAGCAGTTTGCTTGTGCTATAACCTTTATTGTAGGTGCTACTTAGGGTAGGCTTGAAGTGCTGGGTAGTGATTTGAGTTCAAATAATAAAAATTGTATTTTTTCAATATTGTATAAAAATATTCTAATTATCTTTCAAAAAAAAAGTCCAAATAATTGCTTCTGATCTTGTAAAAACAAAACCAAAAAGTAAAAATCTAATAGAGCCAAGTTAGGGAAGGCCTATGAGCAGCCACAGCTCTGCCGCTCACTGGAATCCACTTTGCTCCATTGAAAAACACATCATCAGCCTGCCTCCCTCCGAGTGTCACCAGCACATGGCTGACAGTGCAGAATGCCTACTCAGAGCCTGGAATGGGTCCACAGGGCTGTGTGTGTCCATCCAGGCAGGAGGTAAAGGTGTCACTAGGCTCAGCACTGGAAGCTCCTGTGTCTGCTCCCCAAATCCCACTGTACTCCTTTCTAGCACTAACTCTGGTTCCATGCATGTTTCAGCTCTCTGGCCCTTGTCCTCTCCACTGGGAAACTGACTTTGCTAGCTTTCTGACCCTTCCTTGCTCTTGGGTGAGGTAGGAGCAGACAACCATACTGATAGGTGCAGAGGAGCAGGAAGAGAGCCTGGCCGTGACTCTGAGGACTCTGGGTTCCCATAATAAAATCTGCAGCGGGGCTGTTGTGACACCAGCAGCCTCTTCAAGTTGCCTAAGGATGCCCGTAACACCCAAATCATGCAGCGCCTGGTGGAGGCCAAGCACTCTTGGCTTTGGAGTTGGTGGTAGCAGTTGGAGCTGCTGCTAGCACTTACCCTGCTCTTTGTACCTCTCATTTTTGAGGTCGTCCTGTGGTTTACCAGCAGAAGCTATTCTTTGCCCCCATGCAGGTGACTGAGCTCTTGCCAAACACCAACAAGCAAAGTGGCTATGGCCCAGCAGCCCAACTCTGCCGCTCCTGCACCTCCAGAAGCCCAGCACTGGGGCCAGTGGGCTGTGTTCAGTGGTAGCCCACCTAGACACTGGCATCTTGACCTTTTTGTCTACAGTCTTTTCGCCCTCCTTGAGATTACCATGCAGCTTCAACCAGCATTTTCTATTAATGAGTTAGCAGAAGTTGCTCCATATGATCTCTCCAGTAGTAACAATCTTGTCCACTTCAAAAGCTGTTCTATTTGCCAACCAGCTGACGTAGGCTTCTGAGGGGTATCCCCCCTCAGAGGAATTGTGTCCTCAAAAGGTCTCCCTGAAGTCCTAGTTAGCCTTGACCTGATACTTGGATTTTCTAGGCCACTTTTTGGGATGGCAAAGAATCATGACAGATCCTCTGCTAGCCACTCTGGGTCAGGTTTCCAGATGCTGTTTCTGCAACTGGCATTGGATTGTAAATGGCATGTGGCCCTCATATGTTTCAGTGACTCAGAAAAGTGAAAGTCATTTACAAAAGTTAGCAAAGAGTTTTTGTTTCATCCATTTCTAACTGGGTTCATAGCCTTACTGAGTGAAATCAACTAAGATTTTTGATTGGGCACAAAGAACTGCATTTCTTTGGACTTCTGAATCCATGTTCATCATCCTCTGGCTACCGAATACCTTGGCCAGCTCTTTAGGGATTGGATGGAGTGGGGGCCTCAGGTGTGCAAGTTGACATTCACCTCAGGAGTGGCCAGAGCTTGGTTTAGCAGATACTCAGCTGTGGGCATGGGACGAAATGGCCACTAATTACTGATTGTATTTGGTACACATTGTGTGATACTTGAAGAGATAAAAGGGACTTACCAGCCCTTAATTGAAATCTAAGCTTTTTACCGCTTTTTCCCTCTCGTCCTATCTCTTCCCTCCCACCTCCTTCCTTGCATTGTGATGATCTATTGGGCATGTCTGTCACCCAGACAAATGCCTCCTCTGACTATAACCTCTTAATAGTTGTGTATAATGAAAACTGTAAACTTTTTTAAATAAAATATGTATATACCTTGGCAAATGGCTGGACTTGATCAATAAGAGCCCCCAGTATGACTTGTCCCGTTTGTTAAATCTCTTCCCATTTCCCCCGATTCTTATGAGTCCCCTGCTCCACTCCAGATAACTGGACTCAGTAGGGAAGGGAGTGTGTCACTGTCAGGAATAACCAAAAGGCCCTGCCCACAGTCCTGTCCTGGAACACAGATGGCGGCTGACTAAAATGGGACTGGAGGCTTAGGCATTAGAGCCCTGCTAAGCCATCACCTGTGCAAGTCCTGAATTCTAAGGGGGCCTCAGCCTGTACCTAAGCAACCCAGAGCCTGTCAACTCTTCCTGGTGAGCTTGTGTGCTTAATCTGAAGTTCACAGGTAGTGCCCTGGGAAGAAGCCTGCCTCTGTCCAGTGCTCTACTCCACCCTGTCTGGGGAGCCCAACACTTGCCCCAGACCAGCCTTGCAGTTCCTTTCTAATGCACATGCTCTCGATAACCACCAGGTGGCAAGCTGTCCAATCAGACTTCTGAGCCTGCTGCCGCTTTGTTAGAAGACCCTGAGACAAAAGAGTGCCCCCCTCCATGTACCCCCTCTCTTCCACTCTTTTTTCTTTCCTAATTCTTTCCCAGGCTTGGTGATGCAGTTTCCAGGAGCCCATCTTCATCTGTCTTCCTACCTATCTGGCAGGGAAGTTTGGTGGGGTTGACAGACCCCTGGGAATATTGTTTCTTAAGCAAGGGCACCCTCAAGCCTCCCTCCATTGTTCTCAAGCAAACCACAACAGGTTCATTGCATCCCTGGCCCCTCACCCAAAGGGTACCCATTTTTCACTGACAGAATCTGAGGTGTGGGTCCAGTCTTACTAAAGACTGCTCGAGGAGGAGGAGTCTACATCCTGAAGAATCTCACTCCCTCAGCCGCCCACCCAAACCCCAGGGTTTGGGTGGGTGGCAGCTTGCCCTCCTGCCATTCCTAGGAAAAGGCACTGAGGTTTCTGAAGCATGTGGTCCTGGAAAAGAAAGTTGCAGACTGAGCCCTCAAAGTTGTACTACCCTAACTCCTCATCTCTGAAAGCCAGCATGCCACCCTGCTGTGACACTATTTTGGGGTGTCCTGCTCCCCACTTAGAACCAGGGGAAGATAGAAGTTTCAGGACCCCCACAATCCCTGGAGCCACCAGTCAGCAGTCTTATATGGACCCCAGGCTAGCCCATTGTAAGCCCCTTTCAGATAAGGCTTGATTTCCAATGTTAGAACATCTGGGAAGAAAAATTACTCTGACCCCTCAGCGATTCAAGGGTAGAAAGTACAAGGAGTGCTTCCCTTTAGCTCTGGGCTGTTTCTGTTTCCATCTGTGAAGGATATTTTTGAATAAAGGCACTTCTGGGTTCCTTATCTGGTGTCAGGTCATGGAAGTTTGCAGAGACAAACCTGTACTCAAAGTGCCACATTATTGCCACAAACCAGAAGAGGATGCTAGACAGAAAGTGTGGTTTGACCTGCCACCTCAGCCAGCCAGCACAGAGCAAGCAGCTCCAGTTCCCTCAAGAAGTCTGGACTCTGTTCCCTTCAGGTTTGGTCTTTTTAAGACAGGGTCTCCCCATAGCCCCAGTTGGCCTGGACTCACTTTGTAGACCAGGCTGGCCTTGAACTCACAAAGATCCACCTGCCTCTGCCTCCCGAGTGCTGGGATTAAAGGCGTGTTGCCACCATGCCCAAATCAGGGCGTG